CACCCATGCGTGACAAGCATATGAGCAAAAGCCTTGCCAAACTTAGTACTCACATCTTTCACCTTCTCAAAATTTTGTTCACTTGTCAATGTAGGTGGAGCTCCACCTTGATCTAAATTTCCATTGAATGCTTTTCTCCACCCACGGTAGTGATGATTAGAATTTAAGAATCTATGTTGACCAAGAAAGACATTCTTCTGACCAAATTCCAATCGCGTCCAATCTGTGTTTTCTTCACAGATAGGACACGCACATTGACCTTTAATATTATACCCCGATAGATTTCCTTATGCTGGAAAATCATTAATTGTGCCAAACAACATCGCCCTCAAATTGAAACTTTCTTTCCTATATACATCATAAACCTCCACACCGTTCTCCCACAAACTCTTTAAGCCTTTGGTTAAAGGTGTCAAGTATACGTCTATGTCATTCTCTGGTTGTTTAGGACCAAAAATTAACATAGATAGCATCATGTACTTACGCTTTATACATAGCCATGGAGGTGGGTTATAAATCATAATAATCACAGGCCATGTAGAATGTGAGATACTTTGCAGACCATGCAGGTTCATTCCATCAGTAGATAATGCCAAGCGAAGGTTTCTCGCTTCTTCTCCAAAATCAGGATACTCATTATCAATTTTCATCCACTGTGGTGAATCTGCCGGATGTCGATACTTTCCATCTATAATTCTATCATCTGCATGCCATGTCAAGTGTTTTGCATCTGTTTCACTACGAAACATGCATCTAAATCTCGAAATTATAGGAAAATACCATAACACTTTTGTTGGGGACAACTTTTTCTTATGCTGAGATACACCGTATTTAGGACACTCATTTAATGATGCATATTCATTTCGAAACAAAATGCAATCATTTGGACAAACATGTATCTTACCATAGCTCATACCAATAGAGCACAATATTTTTTTGGCTTCATAGGTTCAATTGGGAAGAACATTATCCTCCGGAAGCATCTCTTTCATGAGGGCTAATAACTATGTGATACTTTTATCCAACCATCCATTGTCCGCCTTTAAGTTGTACAATTTTAATACCGCAGACAATCTTGTGAAAGTAATGCAACCTTTATGCAAAGTTTTTCTCTGCATCGTTTACCAACCTCTCAAATATTTTGGGACAATCCTGAAGATCTTCTTCAAGTGCTTTTGCAATCTCTTTGATTCGATCATATTATATGTATCATGTGATCCTACTGGGGTCTTTGGCATGTTCAACAGCAAACTTAACGAATTTTGATACCCCATTCTCGTACTCTTTTGACAATCGATTGGAAGACGTTCATTTTTATCCATACTAATTAAGTAGGCTAAACTAAACTAAGTAAGTTAAACAACAACATGATTACCTATAGCAACTGTAGAGAAGTCAACAACTTCTAGAATACACAGTAAGATTCTTGAAAACAATCACAATCTTCACAAGTAACCCCTATAACAAATTAACATACAAAACTAATTCATGTTTTTATCAACAACATCAACATCAACATTAACAACATCAACAACAACATTTGGAATCACATTTAACAACGTCAGAAAATGATACATTTGGTATGAAGCAACTAATCAAAATTTGTCTAATTCTCATGTAACTATTAAAATAATAAGAACTCTTTTCAAAAATCATATAACAGAGTTATAACAGAGTCCAAAATGTTAAAGTTAAGACTATTAATTCATGTCTTCATAAGTGGATACAATCCTTACTTTACAAACCGATTTTGTAAAATTAAATTAGACTCAGCTGTATTTCTTAACAAACTATTCTCAATGGTTAATTTTTAAAATCTTATTATAGGTACGAAATATCTAATATTGTTTATTAAGTAATTTTAGAAGACAAAGTGAGTTCTAATAATATCACTCAAACTCAAACTATAAATTTTCCATACACAATAGACCATATTTTTGAACCTCTACTATATCAAAGAGAGAGCTTATGATAGTACTTTTCAAAATATAATATACATGGTTAGAAAAAGAGAAAACTAATAGTACAAATGTACATGATAAAAACTAGACTAAAAATAGAATTCAACATTCAACAACATAATCTTATTATCTTGACAACAATTTATACATTAAAAATAGAAATTAGACTAAAAAATCAATTCTAAAAATAGAAATAGAAATAGAAATAGAAATTAAAAATAGAATCTTGACTACAGCATAATCTTATTCCAAAATCAATTCTAAAACTCTAAAAAAGCTATAAAAAAAAACATACAGTTATAACTCTAGAGCAAATTACTCAACCAAACTTACAGGTTACATATCATCTCACTATTGAATTCATATGAAACCAAGGAAGCAAAGCTAGAACTATTTGGGAAAAAGGTACTAAATTCTGAATCAGAAACTAAACTAAAACAATTTAATCTGCATACACACATCAACTATTAAAGAAAATTCTGAACTAAACTAAACTAAACTATTTAATCTGCAGAAACTAGAACTATTTAATTTGCAGAAACTAAACTAAACTAAATTCCTGCAGAAACTAGAACTATCATAAACAACCAAACCCGAATTACTGTTATTAAAGAAAATGAAAACAAAAAGAAAATAAAAACAGAAATAACAGATAACACTAAGTTTCTACCCTAGTTCAGTGGTGAGAGATTGAGAGAAAACGTACAGAGGGAGCACGATGTCAGAGAGACGGAGATACGGCGTTAGACGGAGGGAGTAAGGTTCAGTGGTGAGAGATTGAGAGAAAACGACGGAGGGAGCACGGTGGAGAGAAAGAAAGTAGTACTGAAGTGTGAAATGAAATAATGAAAAGTTTGTTTTATTTTTAAAAACCTAAAGACCTATAGCAGAGCTTTCTAAAGTGCTTTTATAACCCCCCCTTATAGCAGCATTTTTCCCTTAAAAGCGCTTTCGTAAATCCCACCTTTAGCAGCGCTTTTAGAAAGTGCTTTCTAAAGTCTGCTTAGGCCAGGACCTTTAGCAGTGCTTTCTTAAAAGCGCTTTCGTATTCCTCCCCTATAGCAGCGCTTTTACAAAGCGCTTTCATATCCCTCCTATAGCAGCGCTTTCATAAAAGCGTTTTCTATTGTATTACAAAATAACAACCTTTAGCAGCGCTTTCTAAAGCCTGTGCCTTTTTCCTTTTTTTATAAATCTTTTAGCAGCGCCGTCTTTGTTGCGCTGCCAAAATTCATTTTTGGCGTAGTGGTTCAAATCTGAAAGGATCACTGGATTCCCATAGTCCCTATTCTAGGGGGCCTGAGAGCTACTAGTATCCTTAACCGTGAAGCTTTTATATCTGATCTTATTGATGACGACCTAAAGGTTTTGAAAGAAGACTTAATTCGTTCTTATTTCAATCCCTATGAGACCCATCATACCATCAGTATCCCTCTGTCTCGGAGATTGCGAGAAGACAATATTGTCTAGACCTGTGCTAAAGATGATGATTATGTCATGAAGACTGCTTATCACCTTATTGGCCAAGAGAAATCTAGAGCTTTGGCTGGATTTGAAGATCCCAATGTTTCTCTATGGTAAGGTATTTGGCATATTCATCTCCCTAACGCTGCAAGGAATTTTCTCTAGAGTCTAGTGAAGGGTATCCTTCCTTTAAAAGCGCACATCTACAAGAAAGGTATGAAGATTAACCCCCTCCGCCCCTTTTATTTCTCTGAGATTGAGACGAAGAATTACTTATTCCTCCATTGCTACATGGCTAAAAGAATATGGTTTGCGTCTCTCATAGGTTTTCCTGTCTCAACTAACATTCATGTTTGGAAGTGGTTACTTAACTACTTCCAATGTAAGGACCAGAGGGGTGCTCAATTGGTTTGTGCAACTTTATGGAAAACTTGGCAAGGTAGAAATCTCTCTTTTCCAGAATAAGCCTTTCAAGTCCTTAGAGATTGCAAATGATGTTGGTTCGTTAGTTAAGGAGTTCAAACTTGTTTCCAAGGTCTCTGCTCTACTGGTTTTCATGGACCCGAAGAACACCAAAGGAACACTCCGAGTTGGACTTCCTTGCTTCCGTTGACGTAGGTTGTTTTCCTGATGAGAAAACTACTTGGAGTTGTGTTGTGAAAGACAGAGATGGCGGCACAATTATGCTTGCTTGCAAAAAAGAAGCTATTTCTGTGGAGACTTGCGCTGTTGAGGCCATGAGAGTCAGATGTGCTTGGAGATGGCCAAAAACCTCAAGTGGGACGACATCCTCATTAGATTTGATGCTTTAACGATCTTGGATTACATCCAAGGTCATTTTCTGGAGGCAATAATTGCTCCCATTGTGGACGATTGTTTATACATTATGTCTAATTTGAATTCTGTTACTGTTCGATTTGTTAATGGCGACTTGATTTAGAAGGCTCATGACCTTGTTGGCATTCCCTATTTTGATGGTTATAGGGCTTAGTTTGGTGATGTTTTTGCTAACCATAAAAAAAAATGTTCAAGCACGTAAAAAATGCACCACAATTCAAAGTCATTGCGTCATGATTGAAGCATTAATCCACCTAGTGCCACGCAATCGAACAAAACATCATACCACAATTCTATTAAGTTGCACCAATTTAAGTAATAACATGCCTATTTTTCATCATGCCACAATTTGAATAATAGTATCATAATTTCCTCTATTTTTTTTTCTCCATCAACTTTTATGATGCTCTTTTTTCCAATTTGCTGTAAGTCTCAATAAGAGGTAGAAATAAAATTTTGAAAATAATGAGAATATTGGTGTCAACCAAAAGATTAACTTATTTTATTATATTTATAAAGAAAAAAAATAATAAGCACGTTGTTCAAAACAACACTAATAACCAAACAATTAAAAAATCCGAACTGATCCATTTGAACCCAAAAATATAAAACTGGATATCCACAACACAAACTGGTGTGCCTCTATCGTCCCTGCATTCCATCGCCGCCGCCGTAGTTTCTCGATTGACCCCAGTATTCACATTCCAGTTGTTTCTCTTTTTCATCTAAACCCTAACAATGAATGGTAATGATGCCCTCAAATTACTCTTTGATGTTTCCAACTCCAACAGTTTAGAAAACTCCTTACAGATTCTCATTCACATTTCCAAATCCAATTCTGGACGTTCCAACCTCGCTTCCAAAACAATTCTCCCTGCAGTTCTCACTATTCTTCACTCACAAACCCCTCTTCTAGATCACCCCAATCTATCTTTGTGTTTCAAGCTCCTCAGAAACTTGTGTGCTGGTGAACTCTTAAACCAGAATCTGTTTCTCGAGTTTGATGGGGTTGATGCTGTTGTTTCAAGGATTTTGACGTTGGAGGTTGGTTCTGATCACATGTTGGTTCGGTGGGGTCTGCAGGTTTTGGCAAATATTTGTTTGGCTGGGAAGCAGCATCAGAGGGCTATTTGGGAAGTGTTGTTTCCATTTGGTTTTCTGTCTCTTGCAAGACATGGAACCAAAGAGGTTTGTGATCCATTGTGTATGGTGATTTATGCATGCTGTGATGGAAATCCTGAATGGCTTCAAGAGCTTTATAGTGACTGTGGTTGGCCTATAGTGAAAGAACTAGTGAGAACTGCTTCTTCTGGTTAGTTTGGTTAGTTTGTAGTTTATGTTTTTTTCTTGTGTACTTTTATATGTTTGTTTCATCTATGCTGCTGTCTAGGGTCATTCTCTTATGTTATAACTGATGAACCTAACCAGTTTAGAGTTGCATTCGTTTCAATTCAAAGTCTATTCCTTATAGCCAACAAACACTTGTATGGATTGCTGGTGCTCATGTCAAAGTAAGTGACACGTCCTATTTCCAACATACTCCACAAGGGGGAACTTGTCTTGTTTGATTCCTCACATGAAGTCACTGCATGGACTAGTCTAACAGAAAAATGATACGTTGTTTCGGCTGCTCTTCACCACAATGGAAATCTTATTCTTATAGACACAGCACAAAAAATGATTTGGCTAAGTTTTGATACTCCTTCTGATACACTACTCCCAGGACAGAGCTTATCTGTTTACAAAACACTTCGTGTTTCAACTAAGGACCCAGTGACTAGTTACTATAGTCTCTACTTAATGCTTCTGGTCGGTTGCAGCTTCGCTGGGAGAGTACTATAATATACTGGACAAGTGAAAGCCATTCTTCTACTGCAAATTTCACAGCATCCATCACATCCCATGGATCTCTTCAACTTCGAGACCAACATTCTGAAGTTGTTTGGAGTGTGTTTGGAGAAGACCACAATGATTCTCTGAGTTATCAGTTTCTTAGGCTAGATTTGGATGGTAATCTCTGTTTACATTCATGGATGGAAGATTCACAGTCATGGAGATCTGTTTGGCAAGCTGTTGAGAATCGATGCAAGGTCTTTGCTACTTCTGGCTGAATGACTAAAAATGTACGGTTGCAACCTTTTTGAACATCGTAGTCCACAATGTTCCATAAAGAAAACAAAATACATAACTGGCTATGAAGATCCATTGGTAGTTTTATATGTCTAGGATCATTCTCTTATGTTGAATTGAAACAATTTTATTTTTATTACGTTTCCTTTTCTATGAAGCACACATCGACACCGATAATGATAAAAATAGAACAATGAATGTGACCACATGTGTAGGTTTCGTGTTTCAAGATCAAGAGTTGGTGCTACATAGATAGTTACTTATCTGTTGCTTCCATAATTTGCTATGCTGCCATGATTCATGACATGAGTGAGTGTTATATTTGTTGCTTATGGTTTTTAAGATCTAACACTGACTTCTACTTCTTATATTGAAACCAGCTAGTTTTGGTGAGGATTGGATAAAGTTGCTTCTCTCAAGAATTTGCCTTGAAGAATCTCAATTGCGTCTATTGTTTTCTAAATTACGATTTAAGGATATTCATGAGGGTGAAGATAGTGAGTCAAAAGAAGATCAGTTTTCATCTGAACAAGCGTTTCTTCTGCAAACCCTATCAGAAATTTTGAACGAGCGAATCGGAGATGTTAGTGTTTCGAAGGACGTTGTGTTGTTTGTTTATAGCATATTCGAGAAATCAATTGGAGTTCTTGAGCATGCAGTGAGAGGCAAGTCTGGTCTTCCAACTGGCATTACTGCAGTGGATGTTCTTGGCTACTCGCTTATTATATTGAGGGACATCTGTGCTCATGACAGCGTGAGAGGTAATGCAAAGGATGCAAACAATGATGTCAATGTGTTATTGTCACATGGTCTCATTGAGTCGCTTTTGGCCGTGCTTGGGGATCTTGAACCTCCAGCAATAATCAGAAAAGGAATCTCACAATCTGAGAATCAAGATGGTGCTAGTTGTTCCTTGAAACCATGCCCTTACAAGGGCTTTAGGAGAGACATAGTTGCACTTATTGGCAACTGCGTACACAGAAGAAAGCATGCACAAGATAAACTGAGGAATAGGAGTGGAGTTCTACTGCTATTGCAGCAATGTGTTACTGATGAAGATAATCCTTTCCTGAGAGAATGGGGCATATGGTCTGTTAGGAATATGTTGGAGGGTAATGAAGAAAACCAAAAGGTAGTTTCTGAATTGCAGCTGCAGGGATCTGCTGATACACCCGAAATTTCTGCACTCGGTCTTCGAGTTGAGGTTGATAAAATAACTAGACGCGCAAAGCTTGTAAATGTCCCATGAAAGAATACTACTATAACTTGGTCTTTACTTGATTGAATTTCAAGTTAGGACTTTTTTTCCTTTTCAAATTAAAACTGTTCTTTTGTCAATGGAAGCTCAGAACAAGTCAATTAGACTATAAATCTTTAGATTTCATGATAGTATTTTAAGTTCCTGTCAAATCTTGCGACAATTTATCTAGCAACCTCCGAGGAATCAAGTCTCTAACATCCAATCAAAGTGAATTGGCAGATCATAGAAGTTATTAGCCTTATGCAGAATTCTATGTAATGTGCAACCAGTAGTTCAATGAAAACCCCTTCTATAGGTATATTTAGACTTCATCTCTAGTCAATTCATAGGACTTAGTTTTTTCTAATAATAATCTTGAGTAGTTTACTAAAAAAAAATGGTCCCTTAGTTAATGCTGTTATTGTTTGAAGATGGTGTTGCTTGCACAAATTTTATTTGATTAAGTTTTTCTCCCATTTGCAATCATCATATTACTTGTTGTGGCACTGAATTTAATTCGTTGTAGAAGTATATACTAAGACAGCTCTTATTTCTGAACAAGATAAATATAGTCAATGTTTGCTTTTACTGTATTACAGGCGAGTTATTTGATGACCGATACAATCAATCATACGATATAGAAAACTGGCGCAAGACTCACACAAGAGACCATAGTTTGTTGATCACGTCCCGAAATTATTGTTCGAATTAATAGACAGTAAACCCAAGGAGGAGGATTAGTGTTGAAGAAGTTTTAAGGCATGAGTATAGGAGCATTAAGATCACTAAAACCATTCTTAGTTATGTTGTTGCCTGCAACACGTTGTGGAATTTCGCCATAAGGATTCAAAGTCACCCGATTAACCTTTCTTTCGATTTGAGACTCCATTCGTCGGAAAGCAATGTCACTGCATCTATACGGGAAAGAGTATGACACTCGTGAAGGTTTTCATTCCTAACACTCATGTCCATTGGCTCCATTTCAGCTGTGATGGGAGAAAACATAACACGTACACCTTTCCAAATGTGTTCCATGCTGGTTTTATTACTGGTTCCTGAAAGAGTGTCCGTTTTATCAGTGTAATATTCATGGCAATTTTAACTAATAATTTCTGCAGTTTATGCAGATATCAGTAACACATTCATACAAAACAAGTAGAAGGAAAACAATAAAAAGAAAGAGCATAGTTTATTTCTAACAAATGCAATACTTGAGTGTTATGCAAAAAACAATAGATGGATTTTTTTTTTTAATTTTTATTTTCACTATATTTTATTCCAACAAGAAAGTGAAAATTATATGAGTTATTTACTTTCAAACGTAAGAGTCCCAAACTGTTGTACATAGACTCTCATTCAGTGTTGTCCATCTTTAACTGCATTTTGTAAATATTAGTTTTATTAGTGTTACTTTTTCCACTCCATATGGGTGAAGGATAACCCTTAAGAAACTCGAAAATACCCATCTAAAATATAGAAGGTTTTTTCAAGCGCATTTAAAATACACATCTTAGTTTTTCATAAGTGAGTCGCTTTCATTTTAACAAAAAAAAATTGGAAGCATACTTTTAAAATAAATCTGGAAGTATACTTTCATTAACCCTCTTAATTGTTTTCAGGCAACTATGTTTGGCATGTTTTGACATTTCCTTTCTCACATTTTTGAGGTTAATTGTTGCATTTTTTTCTCATTTTAATAGGATATGTGTACAAAATACATTGAGATTTAACTTATTCATCAGTGATGATCAAATATATATACAATGGTAGGTTGCTTGTATATCAAGTAATTGAATGTAACAAACTTCCTAAAAAGTATGAGAATGTAATAACTACCATAAAAGAAAACTAATATTACAAAATGATATTTAATATTCTCACTCAAGCTGGAGGAAAGTTGTTTGATGTGCTCAACTTGGATAAGTTCATGGAAAAAGGTTGAGGTTCAAAGGATTTTGTAATGATCTCTGCAAGTTGTACAGAGAAAGGAATATGCAATAAATGAAATAGTTTAGCATTTAGTTTCTCTCTGACGACATGACAATCAATTTCAATATGTCTCGCTCTTTTATGAAACATGACATTGGCAGCAATATGGCGAGTTGATTGATTGTCGCAATAAAGGAGAGCCAGGGTGGTGAATGGAACATGAAAATCATGATGGAGGTATCTCAACCATTGGAGTTTTGATTCAAACCATCCAAGAAGTAAATAACATACCCCATGTCTTTTTGCTTTTTGATGGTGACACTTGCACCACATGAGCAACTGGGAAGAGGTCTTAACGTATCCAAATCTTCACATAGAGTTTTTAATTCATTGAAGCATGCAGTTACTGTTTTGCCACCTTGATGAATTGAGTGAATATGTTGCTATAAATCAGAGAGACGAAAGTAATCATCTTTTGAGAAACGATTTGAAAGACATGTCTAAAGTTATGTTGTGTTATCAATGTTGATCGTGCTTTGAGCAATATCAGGTGATAGGGATGCATAAATCCATGCAAGAACGATGTTGTTGCATCGTTCCTAGGCGTCAAACAAGGGATCAGATTCACCTGGTACAAAAATCTTGTCATTGATGAATTTGATCTTATTTTTGCTTAAAAGGGACCGTTTCATGGAATGACTCCATGATTCATAGTTTTTTTTTTGGAAAGTGGCGGAGAAACAAGAATGACACCCAAATTTTCTGCAAGATGAACGTAGTATAGGCGTGATTGATCAGGAGTGGAGTTTTTGAGTTTGTTGTTGTTGTTCTGGTTGTTGTTCTTGTCTGAATGGTTGCTATTGTTGTTTTGTTTGGTGTGATCATCTTGATCATGATCAACCATTGTTGAGGATTGTGATGAAGCTCAATGAAAAAAGAGGATAAAGAAAAAAGATGAATCTTCCAGGTTATACACAACTAATACCATAATAGAGTATTGTCGCAATTGCGAAAACACCCGGCGGAAAAACAAAAGAGTCGCCACCGTCGTTATTTATCCCAAAGAGAGGGAAAGGAAACGATTAGAGGAAACCTACGAAAAGGGAAAAGACAAGGTCATCGCAACCAAATCTTGGGTTTTGGAGTCGGTTACGCGATGGGAAGGTATTAACACCCCTCACGTCCGTTATACTCAACGGGATTCACGCTTGTTATCTATCTAAAGGGTGTTAAACTATCTAAGCTACAGGCTACAGAGACAAAAGAAAAGAAAAGATACTCGATAGAGCATCGCCGCTCTATGCCTACGTATTCCCTCATGCAATGGGAAAGTCAGAGTCAACATAGTTCGGAAAACTACGGGTGAAGGAAGGAAGGTTGCTCGCCAAGACATCGTCATCTTGTGCCTACGTATCCTCGTCTGGTACGAGAAATCAGAGCAAACGTAGTTCGGGCTGACACGACCATGGATGGGTTCAAGTGTTTTAACCGAGTAGGGTTAAACCTTCGTTCTAGCAGTTAGGTGTATTGTTGCTCAACCATTGGAGACTTAGGCGTTACCTGTTTGCGATAGAACCAGAGCTTAACAACACTCTTTTCTGAAAATGATTTTCAATTAATCCCGAAGGATAAAAAGTTTGAGTGTTTTGTTTGTGTTTTTTAGTGAAGTGAATAAGTTTGATTTGTGATTCACGTTGCACTAAAGACTATGACATAGGAACAAATGTGTCGCATATCGCCCCCAAATGAGACGTATACTAAACACTCTAGACAAGCGAGAGGAGACCCCTCACTCATCATTTCCCATGTGCTTAAGGCTCGTAGCGTACAACACTTATTATCCTTTATTAGGTGTCTTAAAGATGTTAAGAGATGAGAAGAGAGACGCACGGAAGGTCTAAGGGAAACTCGACCCTAACGTTGTCATGCAAAGTGGTCCTAAGGTTGGGGTTAAAAGAGGAAAATCTACCCTAATGTTAGCATGCTTGGATTGAGCACTTAATGTCTCTCCTACTCCCCAAAGGGACTAGGAATCCTAAGGGATCATGGCAAGGAAAATCAAGTAAACACAAGATAATATCAATCACAAGTAGAAAGAAATGAAAGAGATGCAAACAAGAAATGCAAGCACAAAGAAAAGTGGGAGGAAAAAGTGTGGGACAACGGTCACCACAAGCGCATCTCAACCAAGCAATGCAAGCAAAGGCAACAATGCAAATGATCATCACTTTGAACCACATCCATAAGCATGCATTCAAGTGGAAATTGAACACGCGTGTCGAAGAAATCATGATCGAACGATCAAGAACAAAAACACAATATCCAAAACATCTCACTCCTAATGCATCATACTGATCCATGAAGATTCAAAGTGAGAGAGCACCAAAACAACCTTGAAAAACAGCAAAACAGACCTGCTGGCATAGTGTTAATCGATTAACACCAGGGGTTAATCGATTAACCATTGAAAAATGTTTGAAAATTTGAATATTCGTACTGGTTAATCGATTAACATTGTACCAGCAGCAGAAAACAGCAGCTCAAAAGCACTTTTCAACAATTAATCACTTCTTCAATAATCCAGATGATTGTGTAATCAATTGTGCACGAAATTAAACCAGAAAACAGTGATCCAATCAACATGTAAACACATTAAAACAACAAGATCTCAAATCACATGGATCAAATCAACTAAAAGTCAATCAAAAATGAAGATCCACATTGAATAAGCAAAATAAGCTCAAAATAGCAACAGATCTAGAATTCCAACCTACAAAGCGGAGATTTGCTTTGATAATTGTTGATTCAACCTCAATTGAGCAGATTCAAGCAAGAAACCCAAAGATTCTTCAAGATCCAAGTGATTTCTTGTTGTAGAAGTGAAGATCCACCAAAATTAAGCTAAATCAAACCAAATAAGCTCTTCTAGATCCACTTCCAAATTCAGATCCAAACTAGCACGAAAATTGAATGGAGAATTGGAGATGATATGGATGAAGGATGAAGGTTTAGCTCTAGAATTCAATGATTCTAATGGAGAAATCAAAGAATTTAAGGTGAGAGCTCTAATGGAGGTTTTG